TGGAGGGGTGCTGGTGGTAAGCACAGAGGGCCAATGGGTACACCTCCGTTAGCAGCACAGTCACTTTAAGTTCATGGAATCATGCGTAAATGGTCATGGACCTGTACTCTGGTTCACGCGCCTTGTTCTGTCATCCGGACCACACTCAAAGCGCTTTTACACATACGCTGCCCATTCACCCCTTTCACACCATTACACAGCGATGGCAAGTCATCGAACAGAAACTACACATTGCATACAATTCACACACTGTGCTTGCATAAGGAGCAATTTGGGGTTTCAGTATCTTAGCTCAAGATACTCATTCGACACATCCAGGAGGAGCACGGGGATCGAACCAACAACCATTCGATTGGACGACGCTACTCTAAAGCCAACCAGCCCCCTAACTTACTTACACCACCACAGAGAAGATTGCTTTTATTGCTTCTCTACAATAAGAGAAGCAAGAGACTTGGACCATCGACAGGCCACACAAGACTCTGCACCATAACAAAACGCACAGTTGGAGCTTGACAAAGCAGTGTCGGCGTTGCAGCCTCTTGCGCCAGAGAGCGATCAGCTGACGATATATATCGCAAACTGCTAAGTTGGGGATAGCTCAGGATCGCGTATGACTTTCTGATTGTTGTGACGAACGAAATTCTTCTCTTCACATCGGATCTCTCAGCGTTTTCTGTAACTTGTGTCTCTTGCCTTAATTCCAATGAAAGTCCATGATGAGTTTTTCTTCTGCTTGACGTGATTGCAGAAGCAAGGACTTGTCAGACTTCTGCTCTCAGTTTTTCTCTGCAGTGTGTGTTCAACTCAGAAAGCACAGGAGGCCTATGCATCTTTCCAGTCAAGGCTGCTGCGACTCAGTGTATGAGTTAGTTCCAGAATGCATACTCTGTCACATTTTTAGATGTGGAAAAAGGGTTAATCAGTCCTCGCTACTGGAGTGTTTCGTCAGGGAGCTGACTAATCTATTTCATTGTTGGTGTATGGCTTCTGATGTTGACCATTTTTGAAAGTTTGTTTAACTTGGTCCTTACTAGAGTTCAAAACTATTCTGCCCAGTCGGTTGCACATACATTACTGAACATTACGGTTAACTCTGTTGCTGAGCTGCAGCATTGGCTGAGTATGTACTCATTCATAAAATCGAACCAGTGAGCCCTTCTGCGGAGCCTGTGGTAGGAAAAGATACAGAGGTGGTAGGTTGCCTGGTGGACTTGGGTTTTTTTTTGGGTAAATGGTGTCCAGCTGGCAGCATCTGAAAAACAGACATTACTGCCCGAGTGAGAAGAGAATAATTCATATTTTCCCTGCGTTTGTTTCTGTCAAAATCAAAAGGTTTCTCTTTTTTTTTACCAACTCTGTTTTCCCTGGTAACACATGAGGTCACTTCTAATACTGAGGAATCATTGCCCATCCGAGTACGAGCTACATATAAACAAAGTTAACCTTGTAAGTACAGGCCTATTTTTGTGATATACCGTTATTGAGTGCATATTTGAGATTTCTAAACAGTAAACAAAAACATACGCTTAAGGGTGGAGTGTTTTTAGGCTTTGTGATTCTGTTGACAATTACTGTCTATATTAGCTCGACATGCACGCATACTACGTATCGCTATACGTACTACGTAGTCACTACTGTCCTTATTACTCGATTTCTAAACATGTATTCTCATCACTGTATTCATGCAAGTACATCTTGACTATCTGAGTATTTACTGTTCGAGCCACCTGGGTACTTGCGAGGCTGAGCGGCAGTGAACTTGCAGCCCACCCTCCCCCCAGCTCCCCCAGCCTCTGCTTTGAGTGAGAGTCTGTTTGCTTTCTCCTTTGTTCAGTTAGATCGCACTGACAGTACTCCAACTATGTCTGTCATCTGCCTACATACACACACACACACATACATATCATTGTTAACACCTGTGTTTACCTTAATATTTCATATTAAAATGGCTGCAGTGAAAAAGGTCTATTGTCTGGCCTCCCCCACCTGACCCAGTATCCTGAATGTTCAAACCCTGGATCTGCACTTCTGTCTACCGTGCCTGTCAGTGGCAGGAGGTGGAAAATTGCCTGAGCAAGGGC